ATTTATTTTCTCTGGTTCTGAGGTTATCAATCAGGATCAAGTCTGTCCCTGGGGAGCTGGGCCTTACTGAGTTTGCACAGGGCGAGCTCAGGAACCCATGGCCACTGCGTCTTGTTTACTGACTCAGTCATGTCCTTCCTCTGGGTATTTATTTTCTCTGGTTCTGAGGTTATCAGTCAGGATCAAGTCTGCCCCTGGGGAGCTGGGCCTTACTGAGTTTGCGCAGGGCGAGCTCAGGAACCCATGGCCACTGTGTCTTGTTTACTGACTCACACATCTTGTAAATACGGGGGCACCATATTGGTTCACACGGGCTTTCCCTGGGCTCCCTAAGGGAAAACTTTCTCTGGACCTTGTCTTCCAAAGGCCCTTGGGGAGACCGTTTCCTGAAGGAGTATAACATAAACGGTCCTAGAAAAATGTATAAGCCAGGCTTCATTTAATGTGGTCTTTTCTTAAACCTGCTTTCCATGCATTTACTAGTTTTCATAGGTTTCTTGCAACACTACCTTCAGATGTTACATGTGACAGCCATGGGGGTATACTGCTAGGATCTCCCTCAAAGAAAGAACTTCCTTTTCAGCTTCAAGGGATACAGTGAGCTGACAGCCTCCAGCTGTTAAGACCTTCTGTCTCTATCTTGGCTTTCATGCATTTTTTTTTCCCTCTGCCAAAGACTGAGCATAGCAGGGTTACAAGGACGGGGCCATTTCTGCCCAGCGCTGACTCTGCTACTGTGAAATCTTTGCTCTGGATCTCCCCACTGGGTTGGCCAAGTCTTTGTAAGAAATACGCTGCTGTCTGAGACTCTCTCTACCCAACCTTCTTCCTCTCCTCTTTCCTTTCATGGGGGGGCAGAGCAGCACCATGATCTGGCGGCTTCCCCTACTGAGTTCTGCAGATTCTTTTATCTTTCTTTTATTACCTTTCAATAAACCTCTTGTACTCCTAACTCCATCTCATCTTCTTCGAAGAGGATGCAGCTGATACATCACATGACTCAACCTGTTTTTTTTCTCTGCCCATCCAGTCCTAGGAGATGAGCTCTTTTATAGCAGTGCTTAATGTGTACCATCACCTGAGGATCTAGAGCCAGGCTGGGCTTCGATTGCATTTCGAACAAGCTCCCCAGTGTCAATGATGCTTCTGTCCAAAGATAGCACTTTGACAAACCCCTCCCCTTAGACAAACCCCAAACGACATCTCTGAAGGAATTATTTTCAACACCTAGATTATGTCCCCCAGAATGAGATATACAGAGGAGAACAAATGGAAGGTCTTCTCTCAGTTCACAGACTGGTCCTAGCAGATCACAGGACTCGTAAGGGTGTGCAAAACCAAGAGAAACAAATATTATCAGGAGAAATAAGGGATTGAAAGAAAGGAGAGCTGGACTGAAAGAGAGGGGAAAGGGAGTAGAGGAGGAGAAAAAATTCTAAATTCTACCCTTATTAATCCATTCAAAAATATTTACTGAGTACCTACTATATACAAGGAATTGTTATGAATTCTGGGAATATATTGAAGACCAAGATAGACATATTTCCTCTGCGGAGTTACATTCCGGGGAAGGCAAAAGATACTGACTGAGCATCTAATTTTACATTGGTTGTTTGGTTACAAC